GGGACTTTTTATCGATGAGCTACGTCTACTGAAAACAGATTTATACTGTTACGCTTTCTGAGTCACTGACCTGGAGTAAGTGTGCAGATCATGAAAGCCAGAATCAAGTCACGAGTCTATTTGTTCATACTTGTTCTAGGTTAGTCACTTAAAGTATTGAAGTAACAGGGTCAGCATAACATCCAGGCAACTAGCACTGGCAAAATGAGAAGTCAACAATGGCAGCCTCCATGGTTCATGCAGAAATGCTTTCCTTTAATTTGTTTTGCATTTTGGAGAATTCAGAAGGAGGTTTGGGAACTCCCAAAGGTGGTTGCAAATAGCCAGCACCATAAAGCTGAACAAGAACAGAGACAGCGGTAGGATGAATTCCCCACCTTAAAAGATATAGGAAGCCAGAAAGGTATCACTTTTTAGATAGATCTATCCCCTTGAAATGGTTTAGGTTATTTTTTTTCTCTGGCTTCTATTGTTTTCCTTATTTTTTTTTTAATCATAGATATATTTAAAGTCTATCTATGGGCACATTTTTCCCCTTACTGCCTTCATCTGTCCTCATCTATATTCAAGCAAAGTTGTTGTTTTTTTAACCACCTTTTCATCTGAAGCTCTCATATCCTCTTCTTAGATGGCATTACAGGGGCTGAAAGCCATCTCACAGCGATTGAACTAGGAGGAAGAGTCTAGACATCACTTTTTTCAGACGCAGTGCAGGCACTCTCATCCTTTTCTCCAAGTTGATGTTCTTTCAATCACATGGGAATAGAGCTGGGTGTGTCCTTCCTTTACAGAATGTCATTGAGGAGGAGGGTTATCAGCTGTGAAAAGTCTAATCACTTCAACCTGTAGCTACAGCGTGGCTTGACAATGCTGTTGTGAATTCACTGCAAGCCATTTAGCATTTTCACCCAGTCAGAAGAAGTCACAATCTCTGGCAGGATCACAAGGTTTAGGTATATTGCAAAAAGAGGAGGCGCTAGATTAAATAAAGTATACAGTTTTATTGAGTTGACATACATCTTTGATTTGTTTCAGATTTTGTCTATAGTTCTAATTTCATATTGTATGTCTTTATTTTGCTGTCTTTACACGTAATAAAATGGCATTCATTTTTTTTTTTCAATTTCTTGTTCAACAATGGCCTGATGGTAATCTGGGCAGTAAAGAAAAGTGCAGGATGTCATAGAAGGAGCAAGTGTTAGGTACAACAGCATTGACTACTTGCACATGGCCAGTTTGACCAACATGGGCAAGGAAGAAGAAAAGAAAACCTTATACCCCTTCTACATTTTAAAGAAAAAATCCAGGTATTAGAAAAAATAACCCTTACAGTGAGACAACCCCCACACTGGAAGGGTTAACTGTATCAGCTAATAAGTTATTTTTACTGTTTAACCCTGACTGTACAGGGACATAATAGAAGTTATCATTCACATGATGGCCATAGAGATAATAACTTTGACTTATGTTTGATAGTGTATGTACAGTTGGGCAAAAACTTATTTAGTCAGCCACCAATGTGCAAGTTCTCCCACCTGATGAGTGTCTTTTATACTGATAACAAGTTCAAACAGGTGCCATTGATACAGGTAATGAGTGCAGGACAGAGGAGCCTCTTAAAGAAGAAGGTACAAGTCTGTGAGAGCCAGAACTCTTGCTTGTTTGTAGGCGACCAAATACTTATTTTCCACCATAATTTGCAAATAAATTCGTTCCAAATCAGTCAATGTGATTTGTCTGGATTTGTTTTCTCATTTTGTCTCTCATAGTTGAGGTCTACCTATGATGCCAATTACAAGCCTCTCTCATCTTTTTAAGTGGGAGAACTTGCACAATTGGTGGCTGACTAAATACTTTTTTGCCCAACTGTATAGGGACCTGGCTCTGGTGCTCCACCACAGTCCTGAAATCATTAGTCGATATTGTTTTAGAAAAACTGTCACATGACAATAAACAAAAATGTATCAGTACTCGTACTTGTAAGTACTTGGGCAAGTACCAGTACTTGTACTCGCAAACCTGGTATCGGTTTTTACTAGCTGAAGCTCCCAGACCCAAATGGCATTCGGGAGCTCCCGAATGCAATGCGGAAATTCGGATCCCGAATACCATTCGGGTCTTGTCTTTAGTATTATATGTATATCCTGTATATGGCTCCCATGTTGCCGTAACGAAAATTCGTGTTCAGACCCATTCGGATGCATTAAACCGAAAAACTCATCTGATTGGCCAGAAAAGTCACATGTCCGATTCAGTTTGAGTTGGCCCACCCTTTGCAGCTATAACACCTTCATCTCAAAGGTTTTCTATCGGGTTGAGGTCAGGACTCTGTGCAGGCCAGTCAAGTTCCTCCACCCCAAACTCGCTCATCCATGTCTTTATGGACCTTGCTTTGTCCACTGGTGAGCAGTCATGTTGGAACAGGAAGTGGCAATCCCCAAACTGTTCCCACAAAGATGGGAGCATGTAATTGTCTAAAATGTTTTGGTATGCTGATGCCATAAGAGTTCCCTTCACTGGAACTTAGAGGCCAAGCCCAACCCCTGAAAAACAACCCCGCACCATAATCCCCCCTCCACCAAACTTTACACTTGGCACAATGCAGTCAGGCAAGTACCGTTCTCCTAGAACACGTGTCCACTTCTCTAGAGTCTAGTGCCGGTGTGCTTTAAACCACTGCATCCGACGCTTTGCATTGCACTTGGTGATGTAAGGCTTGAATGCAGCTGCTCGGCCATGGAACCCCATTCCATGAAGCTCTCTACACACTGTTGTTGTGCCAATCTGAAGGTCACACGAAGTTTGGAGGTCTGTAGCTATTGACTCTGCAGTAAGATGGTGACTTCTGCGCACTGTACGCTTCAGCATACGCTGACCCCGCTCTGTCATTTTACGTGGCCTACCACTTTGTAGCTGAGTTGCTGTTGTTCCCAGTTGCTTCCACTTTGTTATAACACTACTACTAACAGTTGGCCGTGGAATATTTAGTAGCAATGAAATTTAACGGAACACCTGAATCCAATGATTTGGAGGGGTGTCCCAATACTTTTGGCAATATAGTGTATATAATGTCATAGTTGTTCATTTCCTACAGAAAACTAAACACACAAGAGTTTCTATGGTGTGTTTTTATTCTCAGAAATAAGAAATCGGTCCAGATGAGTAATATTACAGGAGTGGGCATCCACTGCTAGAGTGAAGGTACTAAGCGCAGTGCTATTTTCTTTTTTCCTATAGTGAAGGTACGCCTGAGCTCCTTATATATTGGCACCACTGCAAGTTTCCTACCTCTGCCCAGAGCAGAAAGTTTGAGAACTGAGCAGCTTGTTGCCGTTTTATTTAATCAGCTCTCTTTTTGTCCTGACTACTGCTGCAGATGGTTGAGTAACAGCCCAGTCTTCATTTGGTTGTTTTATTGAGGCAGTTTTGTGTGTTCTTGAAGCATGAACTCTACTGACATTTGTAGATGTATTTACTTTAGCCTGGATAGTTGGGGTATATATCAGAATTGACTTGACTGTAAGGACATTATTTATGGACGTTTGACATGTCTAATGACATCAATCTTATAAATAATAGACTTTCAAGGTGAATGATCATTTAAATGTTTTACATGATCTTTTACTTTAAAATTATCAGTGAATTCAACATATCTGATTCACACCTAATGTCTGCAGGTTGGTTAAAATTCCTGGTCTGAAAACAAATTATTGTGGTTGCTGGGTTTACCAAGGGGATCATTTGCATATCCAATTCTTGGACAGATCATAAAATGTACATTCATTTTTTACACAATATGTTCACACATATTTACAGCATGGTCATGCAGATGTATATTAAATTTTTTCGTCTGACTCTGGAGCTCATCCTTTCATTTGGTTCGTTATCACAGAGAATGGTTATTCACTTTCACACCCAAGGCTCCAATCTAGTGCTAGATTCAGCTGACTCCATACATTTTGGCTACACATTTAGTTGTATCATTAGTCATACCATGTTAAATTGAACACTGCCATTTCATTAGTTTATTTATATACTATAGTATGTGTGACAATTTGTGTGCTAGTCTTAAAACTTGCCTTATTCTTTATTTTGTCTTGTTAAAGAAGGTTGAGATTGTAGGACCCAGTGGTTTATTCAAGTAAGGTAATGATAATGTACAGAGTGCAGTACCCATAGCAACCAATTCATTTTTATTTTACTGTAGACATAATTATTTGCAGTGGGAAGCTGCACTTTGTACAATAATCTTTGTCTGGCTGTTGAAGCACTCATGGATAACATTAGCAGGCATTTCCTTGTTGTGTATATAGAGGGTGCAAATACTGTTGTAAATGGTGACGACAACGAGCTTAGGTCATAATCATCTAAATAAGCTCTCTACAACCTATGACTTTTCAGCAATTGCATATTCCAAGTTCCAGCATGCCCTTCTGGAATGAGGTCAGAAGCTTAAGAGCCACTAGTTCCCTAAGTCTTGACTAAGTGGACTATATTTAGAAAGCTCCAGTGGTTGTTCATCTTGGCTTGGAAATATACTGTGCATGCTTAGAAAGTGTGCTACATGCTTGTGGTTTAAAGTTATGACTTTGTTGCCATATTGTAATCTATTTGTGTGCATAAACCTATTGATCGTTTGATTCTTCTAACGTGTGACTTAAAAGATAAGGAGATAATGGAAAATACTAGATATGACATTAAAGTTAAGAGTGCTTTGTTGTTGAATGCCTTCCATTACAAGCCTTCCTAAGTAACACATTTCGCTTACAAAATAAGGTATGTATTCATGTGTCCAAAGAAACCCTCACAGATTTCTACTATTCTTTTTTGAAATTTGTACCCATAATAATTTTTGTTTTCTCTGGTATTCGATAAAATGATCAGTATCATGCCAGCTACAGTACATATATATAGTCTTTATTTCACATTGGAATAAATACCAAGTGATGTAGTTTCTGTACTGAGCTAAATCTGACATTTTTATTATCCCCTTCATGTAGGGCTTGCTCTCCGAAATATTAAGAAAGGAAGAAGATCCTAAAACGGCTTCGCAGTCCCTACTGGTAAATCTTCGAGCGATGCAGAATTTCTTGCAGTTGCCAGAGGCTGAGAGAGACAGAATTTACCAGGATGAAAGAGAAAGAAGCCTCAATGCTGCATCCACCATGGGCCCAGCTCCTCTAATCAGCACACCCCCAGCCCGTCCTCCACAGGTATTAGAAAACTTAAATTTTAGTCTTTGGTTGGATCCTTGTGTGTGACAGATAGTGCAGTTTAAAGTCAATTTGTGGGCAGGGTATAAATATAATTTTTTTAAATATATCCTTAATAAGCAGTAAATGAGTTCCAGAGCAAGCCCTTACTAACCTCTGTAGCTGCAGGCACTGTGGTGCAATTCATCCTCAATATTCACAGCAAAAGCACTGATGTCATTTTTCACTACAGCTCATCTCTCACTGCTTCTCCGTTGCGGCCATGACTTGGTAGCCCTACAGCCTTCAAATCTCTAATGTAAAAGAGCAACTTGAAAGACTTGAAAGAAACAAAGGAATTTGGGTCTTAGTATGTACTACGTAAAATAAAATATATATTTTTACCAGTTCAATATCATGCAGGTGTGTGTGTGTATGATATGTATTATATATTTATATAGATATAAATATATAATTTGCGCGTGTGTGTATGTGTATGTATAATGTGTGTATGTGTATGTATAATGTGTACGTATATATAATGTGTCTGTGTAGATGCTTTGTTATCTTTATTTGGTTATATCTAAAATACAAAATTTTAGACAGGGACAATATATCTTTGTTTCGTGCTATCCCTGTGACATTAGTTTAGCAAATAGAAGTCACCTTTTATTAGCTGGACATGTAAAGGCTATGGTCCTTTTGTCTGCACATGTCTGATGACTTTCACCCCATCCGACAGTAACAGCAGTGTTGGATGGAGGAACAGTACTATGTCTCTGATTTACCCCCAGCCTGTAGAGACAACCGAGGACTGACTGTTCTGTGAGGAAGAGTCAATTGGCTGGAATCGCATTCTCCAGACTGACTTACTAATACTATAACTATTGTTTCCACAAAGTTAATGCTATCGGCAGTATTGTCTCCACAAGGCATAATCATGCACACTTGGCTATATACAAATCTATAGAATGATCACTGTATAAAGAGATCCTGTATATGTTGGTTCATTTTGCTTTCTAGTGGATGTATAAGTGGAAACATTATTTTCACTGCTCTGTAGGGAGATCATATAGTGCAAACTCCTATTATTTGGACAAGCTATGCCTTCTACTATTTGCTTCTGTTATTCCCAGCAGTCACAAGACATCCCTGTTTTTGTTTTATTTAAACTATAACAGTGTGGTAATTCTTATTTGGCTTAATCATTTGATGTATCTGGAAAAGATTGTTGTTGGGTATCTGTTACTGTGAAGATAACAGATTTCTCCACATTGAATCCCCCTTTATTGTTTGAACAACATGAAGGGTGCATGCATGTAGAAAGGATCATTGGCTCCTGCATCGCAGTTGTACTTATGTGCTTTAAATCAGACCGTTCCTGGAAAATATTGCTTAGACTCCTATCCAAAAGCCCAATTCAATGTACACAATAAAACCGATGAGTTCATCAGAGACAAAAGCTTCTTTTCTTGACATGCAGCACAGTTTACAGCTAATGATTACCAAATGTCTTCCAGGAGTAATAAATAACGCAGGTTGGGATGGTGGATAGGAGGAAGCTGCTACGTTTATGCACTAATGTATTGCAAGAAAGAGAGCAAATTTCCTTATTGAAAGGGAACATAGTGTGCTAATGTCTTAGTCTACTATTAATGGAGTTTAGCCTGAAGTCCAGTGAAGGATCTTTTTAGAGATAAGGGGATAAAATGGACTCCGAACCATAAAAAGTGATCTCCCTCTAGAACTGCAGTGATTTAATAATTAGTGTTGCCTTAGGCTTCACTGAATCATAGCATTGTGTTTCTGTGTGTCTCAGTAACTAAGAAGATTACTAATATAATTTAAAATATATAATAGTATTACCGGTGCCTTGTGCTGTATTACTCTTTGCTATAACAATGATTGAAAATTGGGAGGTTTGTTTAGTTTAGCCATTTGTTGCTTTTGCAAGCTATAACAGAGCACACATGCCATCGATGATTGGAAGCTGAGCTAATGATTCATTTTAATAAGCAATTATACTGCCTTAGTTTGTTTTTTGTCAGCGTAGTAAGACCTGCTAAAATTTTACTTGAAAGTTAAAAAATGTAATTTGATGTACAAGTGACAACAAAAAAAGTTTTTCTAGCTGTAATGGCAAATCGGATGGTTTTCATTTCATAAACCATAGAAGAAAAGTTAATCTGATTGGCCACCGTATTTGTTTTGTAGTTAACCTTTGCCGAAAAGACCAATCATAAATCTAAAGAAAATGATTAGTTCTGCGTGTCTGTTGCTTTGTAACAAGCATTTTGTACCAGGCTACAAATGGTGTTTTACCAAGACTATAAATATTAAAATATACAGTAGATGGTGTGTGTGTTTTATATGTGTGTATGTAGATTATATATATATACGGTGTATATATATTTATATATATATAAGCTCACCTGGATATTCCAAAGGCTTAGGGTTAGGGTCTGGGAATAGGCACGCTCATAACTGTGCAGATGTTGTGGTGCTGACTTGGGTTGTGTAAGAGAGCTGGTACACCATCACTAGCTCTGCTAAATAAAGCAGCCAAAGACGTACAGAACATTGAGATGGAAGGCATGTGAATGGGGGGACAAGAGTTACTGCAACATGCTGATGCCTTAAGGTCCCCACACACCTTACGATAATCGTACGATAATCGCGGGAAATCCCGCAATTGTACGATTATCGTAAGGTGTGTGGAAGCCGTGCGACCTCTACTACTGTAAGGTCGCACGACTTTAAACTTACGGACATGTTCGAAAACCCACCGAGCATCGTACGATGTTCGGCGGGTTTGTGGCATGTCTGTACGATAACAGCAGTACGGGCCGGTGTGCGCAAGCGCACACTGCCCGTTCGGCATTGCGGTCATCGGAAGCCTGCCCCTCAGGGGGCGTGGCTTGCGATCATCGCAAGTACGATCTGCCTATGCAACATAGGCAGATCGTACGTTTTTTTAAGTACCTTACAACCATCGCAAGACAAAAGTCTTACGATGGTTGTAAGGTGTGTAACCAGCCTTACAGATTAATAATAAGGAATAGAATTTAAAGTATATTTGGGAATTTGAATATAAAGTATAACAGTTGCATCTAGGGAACAGTTAAGTTTTAACATCACGGGTTGGTACAATGTACATATAAAATTGTCACTGTTGGTGGTATGTGATTGGCTATGTACAGCAGCTAGGTGAATATAACTACTGCATTTACCATGGAAAACCAATATTGATTTTGAACAAAGCTTTTCCATGTTCTTAGGCTAATTTTGCTGACACCAGACATAGGTTATATCATTTAAGGGACACAGGGACAAGTACAAGCCAGTCACAGGAAGTAACCTCCAACAATATTCACAGCCATATATGTAAAAGTTTGTATGCCTTGTTTTATAGCCACATGAGGCTACTTTGGCTTGGTAGTTTCCACTAGTGTCCCAACCTGGGTTCAGCTCCTAGTAAACAAAATGTTTGTATGAGTTTTCTCTGGAAGGACTTAGTTTCTCACCCCAGTCCCCAATTTTCACCATATTTCAGTTAAAACAGACCCATGGTCTTACTTTAACTGATAAAGTAGCCACAGGTCCTTGGAACAGGTATCCGCTGATTAATTTCTCAGCACCTGTGATCCCCAAAACCTGGATGCTCTAATATGAAAACAGCAACCACAGCTTACATGGCCGTGCTTTGAACCTTACTGCTTACATCCTCCATTGTCAACCTTTTGACTATTGAGGTGCTTTGAGCTTGAAGAGACAGGCCAGAGTGTGACCATGTTGGCCTTATATTAGAGTGCTTTAGAGACGAAATCTACTGTAATGTCCTCGTCCACTTTTTCAGGAGCCAATCAGGTTTGCTTTAAGGTGGAAAAGACGCAGTGAAATCTATTTTGTGACTAACTTTGGTAATTTGTACAGCCATTCCTGCTTTTATGTCAAACATGTCAATGATGAATCACATCACCCTACACATTGCATAATCTGTTTTACTGCCGTTTGTATTTTGCATTAGAGAGAAGCAGGGGAAGGAAACTTTTTTCAAGCTGACAGTTTGCTTTTTTTTAAGTTTGTCCTTTTTTTTTTCTTCTTCATTTAGCTCTTTTAAGAGCTTTATGTCCTTTTGCTTCAACATCATAACTCTCAGTTTTATCCATCTGTGAACCAGAGAGACAAAATAAAACAAAGTGCGGCAAAACAAAAAGCATGTATTTAACCGATAGTTGTAAATTGGTCCCATAGTTCTAGAGGAATTGGCTTCTGACCAAACTGGCCCTTGAATGTGCTTGGCTGGGACCTTAGAATTTCAGTTCCTCCAGGGAAAAGCACTGATATAAATGGTTCAGGTGTTCTCTGTAAAGTGAGCAGAATATTTCAGCACTATAAACAAATGGAGAAATATTGTATTGTCAACTGCTTTGTAAATGAGTGCAGTTTTTAATATTATCTGAAATCTGAAGCTGGGGAGAGGCTAAAAGAAGACTGCCTGCAGGAAGTCAGATAACTTCCCTTCAACAATCACCATTTTATATTAAATATCTTTCATTTGGATTCAATTGTATCTCCAGTTTACCAAGGTATGTACTGTATGCAGTAACCAGACTTTCTCTGAGAAGGTTTTCATGAACCAGCAAAAACCTTTTACCAATAAGGCAGTGCACAGAGCCTTTCCATTCTGAGAAATACAATAATACGTAACAAGCGGTCAGTTTAAAAAAGTCAGAGCTATGCAAGATGTTAGCTGATTGGCTGGTGATTGTCACATCGCTCTTGTGTTTTACTCTTTGTCCTATTGAATAAACCCAACAGAATAGAATATTTCATAAAATATATGCAGCGCATTGATATTGGAAACTATTGAAAAAATGCATGTGACTGTTAATCCTTGCATAACATTATTTTTCCTGCCAATTGTCTCAAAACAAGTACAAAAGATTTATAAATTGCTTTAACGATTTTTCATTCTTTTCATGTCGATCCAAAAAACAGGTATCACAGTCTGTTTCCAG